CTTGTTTTGTACACTATCACTTGTTACTTGGTGGCCTTGAGTTGATTCTGTCTCGTGGCAGCCCCAGGAGTGTCAGAGTGGAGTTGTGCTTCATAGGGGTTTCAGGGCTCTGGCCTTGTGGATAGAGGTCATCTGGCTTGTGTTCTGATGGCCCTCTGGGTAGGTTCGATCCATTAAGCCTTCAGTTAGTAGTCAAGTACAGTACTTAACTATTTGTACCACCCAAGGATTTGCTTTGGTAGCTACGGAGATTTAAAAGGGAGGTCTGGGTCTGTCATCTTCCTAACCTCCGTGCCAGCCTGAGGAACAGGACACTCCGGAAAGGTTGATCGGACTGTGGGCTATGGGAACTGCTCTGAGAGACCATCCTGTCCTCCCCACCCTGCCTCACTCTACCCCAAATAGCCCTTACCAGCTTGCCACGGAAGGCTTGGCTGCCTAGTCAGGCCAGAGGCATGGCCCTTCGAAGCCTTAGTGCACATCTCAGGGGAACAGTAGAACCCTGGTGTTTGAGATCGATTTGATTTCCACCATTAATTAAAACCTTTAGTTCACTATTCATTACCATCAGGACTCTGAGGGTTTATTGCAAAGAGGATGGGGCACAGAATAAAACTTGGAAGACCCTAGCACAGAGAAGAAACAATTCTCCAGGGTCTGTGAAGGCTTTGCTCAATCTTCACAGCACTAGATGGCAGATGACTGCTACAAGAATACTCCGCCCCCTGGCCCGGCCCGGCCCCGCCCCTCGGCTCCCGGCTGCGGCTCCGCCCGGCGGAACGGAACCGCGAAGGCGGAGTGGCCCGCGCTGTGCCCTGTGAGCCGGTGTCGCTCCAGCTACCGGCAGGGTCGCTTGAAGACTGCGTCCACTGTCTCAGCGACCTGTACTTCCTCCCCGGACAAAAGAGGGCGTGGAGGGCGCGGTGCGGAAACCGCCGGTGCTGAGCCGCGAACTGCGCGCGGGGGCCACCGCCCGCACCGCTGGGGCCGGGACCCGGGGGCAGACCGGCTCAGCCTCCGGACGCACTTCGGGCTGAGGAGCGGACTTGGTGCTGGATCTCACACCCGCCTCCGCTGAGAAGTTGTCCTCACTCCCTGCGCGGCCCTCAGCCCACGTTCCCAGCATGTCGGCTGTAGGCTGACCAGAGCGGCCCCACGACAATCCCCCGCAAAGCCCACGTGGTCGGGCACCGAGTTCTGAGAACGCTTTAAACGGACCTGAACCCCGCTTTCCTCTCCAATCGCACACTTTCCCCACAGAGCCCACTACCCAAACCTTCCTAATCGGGTTACAGTTCCCCTTGCGGCTGGTGAAGGAACCCTGACGGCGCTCTGGTTGAAGCGCCTGGCTGCTCCCTGGAAGGTGGACGGTTGTAAACGATGAAGCAGCCTGCCACCATGAAGATTCGGGCCTTGGAAACCCTGTGGAGCAGTGACACTGTGACCTACATGGTCTCTGAGTTGGAATTGACTTGGTACCAACTGTGGTTGGTGATGTAAACTCTCCAGAATGCCTCTTCTCACACTGGGTGGGCATCAGTCCATGTTCTGTAAAGCTTCCCCTAACAGACCCACCCCCAAGTGTACCCTCCTGTGTGACAGACGTTGTACGTGCCATCGTTGGTCTGTAGGGGTTGCTGCTGGCGACCTTTGAGTCAGCCTCAAACTCTTGGCCGTGCACGAGGAAACACTGCCCAGGCCTGCCCCGTCCTACCACCCGTTGCTGAGAATCTACCCCATAGAGTTTTGGTCATAGAGCACCAGACATTTCTTCCTACTCCATCTTGGTCTGAAAGCTACACTGAAGGTAGGGGTTGTGTTTTATGTTGTTCCCATACCTGGCACATAACAGGTGCTTCGTGTTTGAGTGATGGAGCGAAAGAAGGAATGGAGAAGAAATACAGGGGCCTGTTGTTGCTACAGTTTGCTTCTCAGCTGGCTCTGCACCAAAGAGAGGGGGAACAGGCTTCTTGAAATCTAGCGAGATTTAGAAATCCAGGCGTTAGAGAAAGTGCCATCCTGGAGTGGAGGGATGGAGATCTCTAAACACCAAACCCAACCCAACTGGCCTGGAGTCGAGCCTGACTCAGAGCGACCCTACAAAATAGAGGAGAGCTGCTGCCTAGTTTCCAAGGCTATGGATCTTTATAGGAAGAGACCAAGCCAAATAAAACTCACTGCCATCCCGTCCATTCCAACTCAGACCGACGGGGTAGGCCTGGCCCTCGGTTTCGAGCCTGTAACTCTTTGAGGAGTGAAAAGCCTCATCTTTCTCCCACAGTACAGCTGGTGTCTTCGAACGGCTGGTCTTGCACTTAGCAGCCCAAAGCACAGTCCACTGCACCAGCCGGGCTCCCTGTAGGAGGAGACAGCCTCCTCTCCACCACCTTCCCCCTCAGGGAGCAACAGGTGAGTTTGAACTGAGGACCTTGGGGACAGCGGTCTGACTTGTAACTCACCTGCCATCAGGGCTCCTTGGAGAGATCTCTAGGTGCAAGAGAACTCTTAAAAGTGCCTTTTGAAGCAGAGGGACAGAGATGCAATCATAGGTTACCAGACTTACTTGGCCTACCGTGCCCTTTTCAGGGGGGAAAAAAAAAGATTACTGCATGCCTCCCTTGCCAAGAAAAGCGTTTGTGCTCTAGCCTACAATATCCAGGGTAAAGTTGGTATCTACTTTTCAAGCCTCCTCTGGATCTCTCCAGGGTGCTAGCACCCACTTTGAAAAATACTGAATTCGGCAAAGCAGGCCTCCCGGAAATCCACCTCCCTTTGGAA